AGGGAAGTCAGAATACATGAAGGCACTCAGAACTTTTATGTTTTCACTTAGTGTTCATTTAACTTTTAATACATTACTTTAGGTAAAGATTATTGCTAAAACAATAGCAGGTAGTCATCATGTTTTGATTGCAGTCCTTTAGTAGTACACCATAAGTGAGTGTTTTTCACTGGCCCCATGAAGAGGTTTGACACGGAACACCACTTCTGGAATGATGTTGATCATTCTAATAAGTGTCTTCATTACATAATGGCAATATCTTTCTTGTTTTGGATCAGTGTTCACTAGTTCTGACATCTTTTATCAGTCTCCTTTGCTTCCTTCTCAGGAACAAGGTTTTCCAGGAAAGAAAAAGGCATTTATAAGGAAGCTTGCTTTAAACTTTATGATTATTATCCCTTTTCATACGGTCAGTGATAAATTGGCATGCTTTCATTTAGCAGACACTTGGTATCTCCATGATTGACAATTGACCTGGATGAGAAGTGATGACTATGGTTGGTTTTGGAAGCCACACAAGAAAAATGTCTTCTCATCAAATAATAATAGCCCTGTCCTTTTGATCTAAGATAATGATAATTTCTTCTAACTCCAATTTGATTCTTGATCTTCTTCCTCACAGAATGTTAATCTTCTGGCCATCTTCTTTGCTTTTGTCAGTAAGATCTTCTAGAAACTCCTCCGAAACTCTCTTCTTCCTTCCCGTGCAGCTTTTACTTCTCTGTCTGTAGGGCTGATGATGAAATCTCCGTGGTCCTGGCAGATGATGCACACAGACTGAATTTACTGAGCCATTTCAGGTCATATCCGATGAGTTCTTATTTGCATTTTAGCACCTTGGCAGTTGAGACAGCACTCGACAGCTTTGTTACCACCTCAGCCCTCACACATGTCACAGATCACATTCTTTTCTCGTTGCACATTATATAAATCTGCTAAGGTTACATCTTCTTTCCCTCTTCATCCTTCCTTCTCTGAAAAACTAATTAAAGATACCTACAAGGGCGCCAGAACCACCACCTGATTCACTTGCTTTCTTTCCTGTCTCTCCTTTGTCATGTAATACCCCTTTTTAGACTTCAGAGAGAACTTGATAACTTTGATAAATTTGTTTAACATTTTCTTCTTCATTTGGAGTCTTATCAGTTTCCTATAAGCTTTTTTCAGTTCTTGCTGGGTAGCAATTGGGTTGAACACCCCCCCCTCCTCCCCCCGCCCCCAAAATCCTAGTAAGTGGTTTTTCTTCCAGTTTCTTGCTGGTCAGAGAGCTGGGGATGGTTGGAGACCAGAAAGGAGCATATAGCTTTGTATAGCCAGGGCAGACTTGGCTCTTCTGCTTCTTCTGTTCTAGAAAGTTCCCAATTAGGTCCTCAATTGTAGGTGTTAAATGTAGCTATTTACAACTGTTTCTCCTTCTGCAAACTTCTTTTTCTATAAATTTTGTTAGGTGGGATTTTTGTTTATTTGTTTTTGTTTTTTTGTCCTGGGCCTTGAACTCTAGGCCTAGGCTGTCTTTGAGCTCTTCAGCTTCAGGCAAGCGCTCTATATCACTTGAGCCACAGGGCCACTTCCACTTTTCTGGTGGTTCATTGGCAATAAGAGTCTCATGGACTTTTCTGCCCAGGCTGGCTTTGAACTGCGGTCCTCAGATCTCAGCTTCCTGAGTAGCTAGGATTACAAGTGTGAGTCACTAGCGCCTGGGCTAGGTGTTTTTGTTTTATTTCAAAGTATTCTAATTTCCCATATTATTTCTTCAGTTTGTGAGTTACTTAAAAGTGTGTTGTTTTATTCCAAATATTCATTAATTTCCTAGTTTTTCAGTTACTGATTTCCTGTTTTTTCATCATGATGAGAGACGACAGTGTTTTTTTTTTGGTCCCGTCATAGAGCCTGAACTCTGGGCTGGGTGCTGTCCTTCAGCTCTTCACTTCAAGGCTAGCGCTCTACCACTTGAGCCACAGCTCCACTTCTGGCTTTTTTTTTCTGCTTATGTGGTGCTGAGGAATTGAACCCAGGGCCTCATGCATGCAAGGCAAGCGCTCTACCACTGAGCCACCTTCCCAGCCCACGACAGTGTTTTAAAATATATTTATAGTTGTCATTTTATGGCCTAACAGCATCTGTCCTATGTAATACTCTATGTGCACTTGAGAAGAAGGTGCGTTTTGTTGTTAGGTGACATGTATGTCTGCTAGATCCAGTTGGTGGTTTACATTGTTATTCAAGTCTTCTCTTGTTGATACATGGTGTAGATGTCCTACATTTTATTGAAGGTGGTACGTTAAAATGACCAACTATTGTATTCTTATTACTCTCGTACTATTTGATTATCAGTGGTTTTAAGTCCTTTAGTTTTAGTTATTTGTGGTGAACATAGGTCTGAAAACATTAAATGGAATTTCTCAGAATTCCCATTGCATACTAGTCTGGGTAGCATAATGAATTTTGTCACCGTCCTGCTGTACATTCGCTCACCTCTTAGCCATAATACTTGTCTTGCTTATCAGAGCAGCTGTCATGATACCTCATTGTTCATGTGCATATAACCCTTATTTTACTTTATACTAGCTCCAGGTGAAAGAGATCAGGACACACACACACACACACACACACACACACACACACACACACACACACACACACACACACACACACACACACACACACACACACACACACACACACACACACACACACACACACACACACACACACACACGTCAACGTGAATCCATAAAATGCTTTCTTTTGGTGACAGTTAAAAGTTTTTGATTTAAAGAAAAGCTAAAAGTTGCTAAAATCTTCTATAAGAAAGAGATCAGGACACACACACACACACACACACACACACACACACACGTCAACGTGAATCCATAAAATGCTTTCTTTTGGTGACAGTTAAAAGTTTTTGATTTAAAGAAAAGCTAAAAGTTGCTAAAATCTTCTATAAGAATGCAACCTAAGAGATATATAGAGCATTTGGTGCTGTATTGGTTTAAGGCTTCCATTGCTGGGGTGGGTGTGGGGTGGGGATGGGAGGAGGTGTCTAATAATGGATCTCCTGTGGATGAGGAGGGTCTGCTGTATTCTGGAAGCATTGTCTGATTCTTCCTTCAGTTTTGTTGGGATTTGTTTCTTGTGTTTTGGGCATTGTTCTTTTATGTGTACACCTTTATGATGCTCATATTTTTCTAGTGAATTGCGCCCCCCCCCCCCCCCATACATCATGTCCTTCATCATTTCTTACAAAATCTTGTCTGTATCATCATTCCAGCTTTCTTGTTTATTACCATCTGCTGGAATATCTTTTTGCGTCGTCATACTTTTCAGTCTTCTAGAATCTTAACATACAGAAGTCTCATTTAGACAACATAGTTGTATCACTAAAAAAGTTGGTTTAATCTCACCCGAAATGGGTAAATTCTATTTACAGTGGAAGTGAGTACTGACTGAGAATTACCATTTCATTGTTTATATGTTTTGTGTCTTCTTGTTTCTTAATTCCTCCTGTACTACTTCCCTTTTCATTTGAATTTTCTAGTGTACCATTTCTTTTCTTTGTTTTTGATACAGGTTCTTGCTGTGTAGCTCAGTCTGGTTTGGAATTCTCTGTGTAGTATAGACTGACCTCAATTTCTTCTCAGTCTTCTGGTCTCACCTTCCTAGGATTATCTATACGAGCCCTCATACCTGGCTCTTTATTCTTACTGTTCCATTTTGTATGAAGTATCCCATTCAACATTTTCCTATAGCATAGGTACAGCAATAAATTCTTCCAGTTCATGTCGTTCTAAGAGGGGATGGTAAGCTTTTTTCTGCCAAAGGTTATTTGGATATTTATGTGGGCCATTCAAAGTCAATAATACAAACAGATGGCCACAGGCATGTGTTTCTGTCATGTGTCGTATACTAAATGATTTTGAGGGCCTGTGGACTAGATGTTCCTCACCACCATTCTGAGACTATCTTAATTTATCCATTGAGGGATAGATAGTTTTGGTACACTTGAAATCTACACTTAATATAGAATTACTGTTTAATAACTTGTCTTTCAACAATTTAAATATATCATACCTTCTGACTTGATGGTTTACGATCAGAAATAGGCTGTTAATCTGAAGATTTCTTATGTAAAGAATTATTTTTCTGTCTCCAGAGTGACACTCTTACGTCTCTTGAATATAGTATAGCCCTTGATTATAGTTTGAGTAGGGCATGTCTCTATGTGGTCTCTGGCTTAACCAAATTTTTCTGTCATATCCTCAAATATTCTTTTTGCCCCTTTCTCTGTATTTTCTTCTGGAAATCTTTGTCTTGAAAGTATAGCATCCTGGCTTCATCAAAAGATGATGTCTTTCTTCCTGTGACTAGGTCATACTTCTTTCTTTATATCTCTTGTGATATTTATCAGACAGTTGGAATCCTTTTTTTTTTTTTTTGTCGGTCGTGGGGCTTGAACTCTGCGCCTGAGCGTTGTCCCTCAGCTCTTCAGCTCAAGGCGAGCGCTCTACCACTTGAGCTACAGCGCCACTTCCGGTTTTCTGGTGGTTTATTGGAGATAGGAGTCTCACGGTCTCTTCTGCCCGGGCTGGCTTTGAACCGAGATCCTCCGATCTCAGCCTCCTGAGTAGCTAGGATTACAGGCGTGAGCCACCAGCGCCCGGCTGGAATCCTTTTTTTATGTGATTCTTCTAGTTAGTAGTGTGTGTGAAGGTTTTCCCACGTCATGTCAGAGTTTGATAGGTGATTTATTTTAAACAACAAATATCTTGAATGTACCACAGCTTGCTTATCCATTTACCTACTGAAGGATATCTTGGTTGCTTTTAATTATGAATTATAATTGTAAAATAAGGTATCATAAACATCCTTTTTTTGGTTTGTCTGTGGACATTGGTGTTCAAGGTATTTGGGTGAATACTAAGTAGTGTGATGATTGATGATGCTTATTGATTGTAGTTTAAAGTAATTTATTATTTTATTTATTTTTTAATTAACAGGATTGCCTTTGAAGTGGTTTTTAAAGTTTTGAATTACACAGAATTCGCTGCACTGTGGAACAACCTTTCCAGCAATGATTACTTCAGAGTTACCAGTGTTACAGTAAGTATTATAATTCCCTTTTCCTTTTTAAGGGAAAAATGAGTAATATATCTATCATAATGCTCTTTGATGGTACAAATCAAATATGTTCTTTGATACTGGGATAATTTAAATCTATGTGTTAGGACATACAATTTCCACATCCACTCAGAGCCTTTGCTGTTAGAACATTGATATCTTCACTAATGTAGTAGGACAAGATAGGTGTTAATGTCCTGTTTCGGTGGTCAGTAGACTGGCCAAGCCAAATTTGGCATGCTGTCTGTTTTTGTAAGCAAAATGTTGTTGAATTGGAGATACATTCATATCTTTATGACTGTTACCAGTTCCTCTGTACTACAAGTTGTCATAGTGACTGTATTTTCTAGAAAACGTGAAATACTCAGTTCAGTGATTTACAGACAAAAGGTTGTTGACCTCTGTCCTGTATTTACTCCTTTTCTACTCTTCCCTTGCTCTTCTTCTGCTCCATTACGATCCTTTCTTTCCCCTGAGATGGAAATTGTTGAGCCATTCTAGTTTATAGAAGCTGCTAAGAGAATGCCAATTGGTAATTTTGGTTATATATCACTGGGTTTGTTGGATTTGTAGACAATTCTTCAAATTGGAATTTATTTGGGAATCACTGAGAAATATGATTACAGGAATATTCGTACTATTCTTTATATCCTTTAGTTCAAGATGTAAATCAGGGGATCTGCATACTTTGACCTTGTATGATGATACTTTAAAGTAAATGTGATCGCTATTTTAAGTATTTCATTACTACTTCACTTCATTTCTATACCTATTTTTCAGGAATTAGTCCTCTAGTATCCTGGCTCTCCTTTTTTTCTTTCTTTGCATTTTGTTCTTAGGCACTTTGTTGGTTGTGGGGCTTGAACTCAGGGTCTGGGCACTGTCCCTGAGCTTCTTTTGTTCAATACTAGTGCTCTACCTCTTTGAGATACAGCGCCACTTCTGGCTTTCTGGTGGTTAATTGGAGATAAGGGTCTCACAGACTTTTCCTTGCTGGACTGGCTTCAAACTGCGATCCTCAGATCTCAGCCTCTTGAGTAGCTAGGATAACATGCATGAGCCACCATGACCCAGCTTTCTTAGGCACTCTTGCATTTACCTATTCAGTTCACCTTTTTTTTTTTTTTTGGTCCTGGGGTTTGCACTCTGGGCCTGAGCGCTGTCCCTCAGCTCTTCAGCTCAAGGCGAGTCCTCTACCACTTGAGCCACAGTACCACTTCCACTTTTCAGGTGATTAATTGGAGATAAGAGTCTCATGGACTTTCCTGTCCAGGCTGGCTTGGAACCGCTATCCTCAGATCTCAGCCTCCTGAGTAGCTTAGATTACAGGTGTGTGCCACCGGTGCCCAGCTCCATTTATATCTTTTTTTTTTTTTTTTTGTCGGTTGTGGGGCTTGAACTCTGGGCCTGGGCGCTGTCCCTCAGCTCTTCAGCTCAAGGCGAGCGCTCTACCACTTGAGCTACAGCGCCACTTCCGGTTTTCTGGTGGTTTATTGGAGATAGGAGTCTCACAGTCTCTCCTGCCCGGGCTGGCTTTGAACCGCGATCCTCAGATCTCAGCCTCCTGAGTAGCTAGGATTACAGGCGTGAGCCACCAGCGCCCGGCATCCATTTATATCTTTAGTTGAGATATCTTTCATCTACTGAAGTTCCTCTGAGTCCTCAAAGCTAGGGTAGCCGTTCTGTGCTTCTACATTTCTGTATGTTTTTTTTTCCTAGCTCCATACCTTGCATACCTACAAACTCTACCTCCTAAATTGAGCACTTTTGTGGGGTGTTTTTTTGTGGGGAGGCAGTAGGGGTATGGTCAGCTCCTAGCACTTACTGGTTATTAGGCAGACCGTCATAAAACGTGAAAGAGGCTGTTTTTAAATTGTGTTTGTATTTAAAGTGGTTGTATTGATACTATTTAAGGTGATGTTTTGTTTTATTTTTGTTTTCGAGATCCAGACCTAAACTCAGTATCTGCCACTTCTACTCATTGGCTGTCGCTCTTCCGTGCTTCCAACCTTTCATGTTATGTTGTGTAACTGAATCATTTTTCATGATGAAATTGTAAAACTGTAATATATGTGTTGGTAGTAGAAAATAGTGATCTGGAGTTTGGATGCCTGAGCTCTGGTTTAGATTTGTCAGCTAGATAATGTTACCTGTGATGCATTGAGCTTTAATAAGTTTAAAGGCCTAAATCTTCTGGATGTCTTGTGAATGTGTTTGTAGATGTTATTTTGCTTAGCCCCTACATGTATCTAGTAATAACCTTTAGTGTTAGTTTTTCATCTCTGATGAAAATAGCTGAGATAACCAATTGACTCTGTCTGTCTGTCTGTCTTTTGGCACAGGGGATTGAACTGAGGGCCTCATGATTTGCTAAGCTGGTCTCTACCACTTGAGTCATACCTCCAGCTGAGATAACCAATTTATAAGGAGGAAAAGTTTATTTTAGCCTACAGTTTCAGAGATACCAGCCTATGATTATATTGCTTTGTGCCTGTAATGAAACAGCATATTGTGGTGGAAATATGTAATGGAGAGACTTCTTACCTCTCCATGGCTGGGAAGCAAAGAGAGCTGAGTGGACTAGAATACCAATAACCTCTCAAGTATATGCCACTAGTGACCTGACTTCTTCACTCCTAAAGCTTCTCCCATCTTCCTGTAGTGCATAAGTAACGACGTTTTTAATACATAGACCACAGTGGGACACTTATCTGAATCATAGCTTTCTGCTCCTGGCACCAAAAGGCTCATGTCCATCTCATAATGCAAAATACATTTAGTTTTCTTCTAATAATCTCTACAGTCTTCTTGTTGTAACATTGCTGAGAAGTCTAAATCCAAATTCTCCTTTGAGGCTCAAAGCAAGCTCAGCTGTGAATCCTTGTAAAACTTAGTACCAAAACAAACAAAACTTTCAAGATACAATGGTACAGGGGAAACACTTTGCATTCTCAAAGGGAGAAATAAGAAATACTAAGGAAGAATTGGATCCCAAAGCAAGAGCAAAAACTCAGCAGGATAAACTTATATCATAAAGTTCCACATCTGGAACCTCAGCCCTGCTGGTGTAGGATGTGCTTGGAAGGGCGTGGTTAGTACTATCTCTGAAGCTGTGTTGGTTGCGACCCACATCTCCTCTCTGGGGCTGGCTTTGTTTCCTGCCTGCAGCTTTCTTCTGCAGGCATTGCAGATCCTATTGTAGCCTCAGCTCCACTCTCATAGCCTAGCTTGTCAGAGGTTCTTTGCGGGGACTACTCGGAACCTGCCACACATTGCATAAGTTTTGAGGCTCTCCTTTGAAACCTTTCTGGAACCTTCCACTCCAGAATTCTGCGTGCCTACAAATCTAGCACCATGTGGATGATGCCAAGGTGTCAGCTGTACCTTTACTTGGTCTGTTCAGGTCGCTGCAGCTGCAGCTTTTGAGCATTTTGCCCATTGAGCCCTTGGAAACAGATCACAGGGAAACCATTCTCTGATGCCCTAGGAGTTCTCCTCTCCAATGAGAGACGCCTGCGTTTTCCAGTGAGGTACCATGAGCCTAGCTATGAGTTTGGTGTTTTGTTGATTCCTGAGAATGCCTTAAAGCATCCTTCCTGTGTTGGCAGCCCAAAGCTCTTACCCTCGTTGTAATGACGCCATCAGTGCCGGCTACCCCTTCCTCCCTCCCCTCATTGTAATGACGCCACCAACACCGGCTGCCCCTCCCCAGCCACACCTTTACTCACATTCCTTTCCTTGACTGGGCGTCAGTTTTTCAAATCTTTCTACTCTGCATTTTTGCAACAGATTTATTAGTGTAAATCAAAAGCAGCGTAGCGAGCGGGATGTCCAGCTTCAGAGCAGATTTCTTCCTTGTGGTAGCGACGGAAGAGTTAATTTAAAATGAGTGGTGTTGAGAAAGGCCAGAAGATTTTTCTTCACAAGTGTTGCCCAGTGCCAGACTGTTGAAAAGGAAGGCGAGCACAAGACTGGGCCTCATCTCCATGCTTCTGTTTGGTCAGAAGACAGGTCAGGCAGCTGGATTGTCTTACACAGAGGCCAACCAGAACAAAGACATCACCTGGGGAGGTGATACATGATGGAGTATTTCATCCCTCGAACAAAATTGATCTTCGCTGGCATTAGGAATTCAGGAAAAAGGGCAGATTTGATAGCTTACCTCAAAAAAGTTACAAATGAGTAATAGCCACTGCCCTATTTATTGCGAAACAAGTGCCTCATAGCTTTTTAAAAAAATAATGAAATTTTAAAAAATAATACAATTGATCTCTAACATCAGAATTCAGATCACGAATGGCTGGTTTAAGTAAAACTGGCTTGTGGTTAAGATAAATATGATCTTTAAAAAAATATTGTTTTCCTTTTCTGTGATAATGATTAGACTTAGTAATGCTCAATTTTTCAGCAAGATAGGGAAGAATACCTGTAAAATACTAGTTTTATACTTAGATTTATATAACTAGTATGAGGACTTTTTTTTTTTTTTGGCTAGTCCTTAGGCTTGAACTCTGAGCCTAGGCACTGTCTCCCGGCTGGTGTTCTACCACTTGAGCCACAACGCCACTTCTGGCATTTTTAGTAGTTTATTGGAGGTAAGAGTCTCACGGAGTTTCCTGCTTGGTCTGACTTCAAACTGTGATCCTCAGATTTCAGCCTCCTGAGTAGCTAATATTATAGGCATGAGCTATCAGCGCCCAGCTTATGAGACCCCCTTTAATACCGAGGAAATTACTTTACCATCTCAGAACCGAACAAGATTCATCTATGTTTCAGTTTATGGTCCTTGGCCTGTTAAAGGCAATGAAAGGATGAAGATGAGGAAGCAATGACTGTATTTTTGGTCTTGACTATGACAATTTAATTGGACTTCTGTCTCTGAAATCTGTCTTTCACTTATTGAAAGGCATTTTAGTGTGGCTTATGTGTAAATGTCAAATAAAGAATGTGTAACCCTTCAAAAATACCCACCCTGCTTCCAA